CGAGGTGGAGGCTCTGGACGCGAGCCTCGAGGACCTGCTCACCAGGGTGGACGAGTTCGTGGGCATGCTGGACATGCTTCGCGGGGACTCGTCCCACGTCGTCAGCGAGGGCGTGCCGCGCATCTACGCCAAGGCCGCCGAGATGAGGCGGATCTACGGCAGGATCGACAAGCTCGAGGCCTTCGTGAGGATGGTCGGCGGCAGCGTGGCCAGGATGGAGGAGCAGGTCACCCGGGCCGAGGCCGAGCTGGGGACCTTCCCCAGGGCGTTCAAAAAACTCCTGCACACCATGAACGTGCCCTCCTTCTTTCACAAGGCGTCTCCCTCGAGGCCGCAGCAAGCCGGCTACGAACCTCCCACCCTCTTTCGGACCGAAGACCACTTCCCTGGTTGCAATGAAAGACCTCAGATCTGAGTCTGCCCGACCACCACTGCAGGACCCTGTATGAGAGTCTTATCTCGTGCTAATTAAGCTGGTTAAACATTCTGTTCAGAGACATAAACGATGTTGGAGCATAGAATTTTAAAGTTTATTTTCTGCAGCTCTGCTTCTCAGTAAATTCAGTATCCGTGTAGAATGTATAGATTTTCTGTCTTCCAGTTCTAATCTGATGGGGAGGATGGGGAAGCAAAATGAATGGTCAGTGCATTGTGGCCGAACTGTTATTTTTACAGATTTTTCAACTCAACTAACAGTATTACTTTTCCAAGTTTTACAGATTTATAGAATCGTTAAAAAACAAACAAAACAAAAAAAAACCCTACTGAGCCATGAAGGCCTTGTTATTCAATCCTAGTAGGCAGTTTTCTACAACCTTCTTTTTAGAGTAGATGGTACACTCTGCATACCATGGATAGTAAACTGGAAAAAATTATAGTTTCTGAGAAAAATATATTGTTTTTTTTTTTCAACTAACTTTGAAGTTGTATTTGAAACTATGACCTCACTTAGTTTGTCATTAGCAAACATGTCTCTATGGTTTCCAATGTTTGGTTTATAATTTAAATATTAATAAAATTAAACTTTTATTGGAAAAGCTTTCCTTCTGAAAAGAACTTTACATAGTTCCTTTTCTGTTTGAAAATAGACAGTGTTGCTTATATAATTTATAGTGGAATAAAGAAAAGTGGCTGGGGGGACCAGCAGTTAGCAGAATGGCTATGTTGCTGTACTCCTATGTAGTCAACCATGGTTCGAGTCCTGTACCCGGTGGTTTAACCACATACTGGGTGCATGTGAGTGCATGTGTGCATGCGTGCATGCGTGCTTTCTGGTTCTCTTTTTCTGGTGAGCACACATGCCCTATAGCAAAAAAAAAAAAAAAAAAAACCTCTCCAAAACAACAACAACAAAAATGTGGCTTGGGAATATGTGCTGTCTTTAGAAAGCAAAGGTGAAAAACTAACCGTAGCTACTGTTTTACAGCATTGTATATTGTCCCTTCCAAATGAGTAGTTTAATCATTTACATGAGTGAATAGGATTAGGATTTTTTTCTTCACCCTGGTAAGATCGAAGATTTGAAGATTCTTTGCAGATAATAGCAAGCTTTGATCTAAATTTTAATTTATTTTATAAGGAGGCCCTCCTAGGTATTAGACTCCAAATAAACATACAGCTTAGGTTGATTTTGAGTCATAACACATCTTTGAGGTTAATAGAGTAGATCTAGCCTTAATTTTAAATGTGTATTGTGGAAACTCTTATGTAATCTCATCCTAAGCTTTCTTGGACCTTCTATGTCATACGTTTACATTTTTTATGCATGTAACTCACTGATAACAAATTAAGGAACTCCTGGATTTAGAAACTGAAAGAACAAGTAACCTATTATTAACTTTTTTTTTTTTTTTTTGGAGAGGTTTTTCGCTATAGGGCGCATGCGCTCGCCAGATAGAGAGAGACATAGAGACAGAAGCGAGAAACCACCCCCCCCCCCAGGGGAGATGGTCATGCCGCAATCCCTTCTCCATTCTCCTCTCGGGATCTTGGGCACGCACGCACGCACACGCACCTGGCGTGAGTTTTAAGCCACCGGGTCCAGGATGCAAACTGTGGTCGACTACGTGGGAGTCCAGCGACATAGCCATTACGCTAACTGCTGGTTCCCTATTTTTAACTTTTTAAAATTCAGGTTTTTGCCATAGGGCACATGAGCTAGTGGGAGAGACAGTGAGAGGGAAAGTGAAAAAAATCATCCTTGTGGGGAGGAACGGCCATGCTGTAATCCTTTCTCCTCTTGAGATTTTGGCATGTATGCACATGCACCTGGCATGATTTTCAAGATGCGGGATCCGAGACTTGAACTAACATCAGCTATGTGGAAATCTAGTTCCTTAACCACCATGCCACTGTGCTGCCCCGTTCTACATTTAATATTCAGCAACTACTGCTGTAATTCGTTCGTTCCTATGATATAGTGGCTGAGTATGAAAATTGCTTTTTTTTTTAAATTAAGGTTTCTGTCACAGGGCTTGTGTATGTGCAGAGGGAGAGACAGAGACAGAAGCAGAGAGACTGAAAGTAGTGAGAAATCATCATCCAGGGGCATGGCCCCACTGCAGTCCCTTCTCTTCCATTTTCCTCTTGAGATTTTGGGCATGCATGCACATGCACCCAGCGTGATTTTCAAGCCAGGTAGGTCCAAGACTTAAACCACGACTGGCCATGTGGAAATTTAGTGCCTTAACCACTACACCACCTGCTGGCCACCAAAATTGCTTCTTTAACTAACATCTGTTTTTGTGCTTAACTTCTGGAGCACATATACTAAAATTAGAACCATACAGAGAAGATCAGCATGGCCTCTGCTCAAGGATGACATGTAAATAGTGTTTGTGTTGCTAACGTTTTAATGTAAGATTAATACTCAACTATAATAATTAGGAAAGGTTTTGAAAAAGAATAATTTAAAAGCCGAGATTTGGGAACCAGCAGTTAGCGTAATGGCTGTCGCTGGACTCCCACGTAGTTGACCGAGGTTTGCGTCCCGGACCCGGTGGCTTGAAACTCACACCAGGCACGTGTGCGTGTGTGCCCAAGATCCCGAGAGGAGAATGGAGGAGAAGGGATTGCGGCGTGACCATCCCCCCTGGGGGGGTGATTTCTTGCTTTCTGTCTCTATGTCTCTGTCTGTCTGGCGAGCGCACACGCCCTATAGCAAAAACCTCTCCAAAAAAAAGCCGAGATTTAATATCCATGTAATAGAAACCCTAAATTTCAGAAAACTTAAGTGTAAGACTTTATTAATTAGGGAAGTATAGTGCCTAGTTATTTACCTACAAAAGAGTAGATTGGGTTGAAAAAAAAGTATAAATCAGAAAAGAATGATTTTCAATTTACCTCTGTTTTTGTAAAGAGATTTTTGCTATAGGGTGCATGCTCTCGCCAGAGACAGAAAGCAAGAAATCACCCCCTGGGGAGTTTGCCGTGGGACAGTCCCTTCTCCATTCTCTCATGCACGCACATAACACCCAACATGTTTTAAGCCACCAGGTCTGGGACTTGAACCGCAGTAGACTATGTGAGAATCCAGAGACATAACCATTACACTCTCTGCTGGTGCCACAACTTACCTGTTTTTAAAGCTATAAAATTTCCTGGCAATATATATAAAAAAGGTCTAGTTTAGGTGATAATATATACAATTAAGTGTGTAATTTATCTCTGAAGGCCTTAGATTCTGAGACTTAGTTGTTTCTCTGAAGTTTCTAAATGGAGACTTGTGCTGGGACTTCTTGTTTGGAATGGGAAGTTGAAGGCAGTTTGCATAGTTGAAGGTCTTGAGTCTGTCTCAAGCATAGGTACACCCCTGTGCTTCACTGCCACCTTTGACCTCCTCCTGGCTTCCCTCCCTCCTGCCTCTGAGCTGAAAAATCAAGAGGGGCCTCTGGCTCTTGCAAAACTGTCACTCCACCCCTTCCTGTCATTAACAAATTGTAGGTTTCCCACCCTGGGAGACCTGCAGAACATCTCCCCTGCTGAGGATGGAGCTTCCCCACGTCCTAAAGTGTGAGGATTTCAAGTTTATGGAAAAGAATTACAAGTACAGGCTTATTTTGACAAAAACGTTCTGAAACCTGGATAGTTTTTTGGTTTATTTTGTTTGTTTTTGTTTTTGAGAGGTTTGTGCTATAGGGCGAGTGTGCTTGCCAGAAAGAGAGAGAGACAGGGAGACAAAGTGAGAAATCACTACCCGGGGGATGGCCACACCGCAATCCCTTCTACATTCTACTCTTGGGATCTTGAGCATACGTGCACAAACGCCCAGCATAAGTTTAAGCCCTCGGGTCCAGGATTTGAACTGTGGTCAACTACATGGGAGTCCAGCAACATAGCCATTATGCCAACTGCTGGTCCCGAAACCTGAATAGTTTTTAATAATAGGTATTTTCCATGAACTTCTTGTAGACAGGAATGGGGATAGGATCTGATAAAACGGGGGAGGCACTCCCCCAGTGTCACTGGAGTCACTTGTTTGCTCCCATAGCAAGAGCACAGTAACCTTAGAGTTTCAGGAATCCACGTGATGTCCTCCCAGCATCCTCTGGCATTCAGGAGTTGACATGTGTACGTGAAATCGGCTACTAATGGCACTTCCCCCTAAGTCAGAACTGTCGGGATTAGGGGTTTTATATCACGTTAAGGAGTGCAGACGCGAGTCAGCCTGGTGTAACTCTGCTCCTGATGTAAGACGGGGGTCAGCGAATTTCCTAAAAGGACAGACAAGTTTAGGATTTATTGGGCGAGGCCACATTGGCTCACAACTGCTTCCTCTGCCCTTCTAGCACAAAAGCAGTCATGGGAAGGTAAGTGGGCATGGCTGTGTGCCGGTAAAACTGAACTGTTTCTTGGAACCTGAGAGAGACACGAGGAAAAACGATAATGGTCTGAGTCGGATACGGTGGCACACACCTGCAGTCCCAGCTCCTTGGGTCACTGAGGCAGGATGACCATGGGTATGAGACCAGCCTGGTCCACATAAATGACACACTCTAATAATAGTAATAATGATGGTCTGGAATTAAGGGTTTTATTTTTTTTTAATTTATCATTATTACTATTTTTCATTTGTTATAGTGCACATGTGCCCACAGAGAGAGGGAAAGTGATAAAGCAAGCCACCAGGTCTGGGACTTGAACCATGGTTGGCTATGTGAGAGTCCGGCGTCCTAACTACCATGCTACCTACTGGCCCCTGGAATTCAAAGTTTTAAATAAGCTTGGGTAGACAACTGTCAGCAGGGGCAGCATGAGAGGATGAGCAATTAGTTCCTAGGGATTTTTTATTTTCCTTATTGCTGAAAGTAAATAAGGGGAAAGACAACTCAAGATGCCAGACAGGGAGCACAGGTCACAAGCTCTCTTTGAAGTAAGACCAAAAAGTCCCAAGCGGTGCCAGCAGATGGTGTAGTGGTCAAGGCACTGGAATTCCACGTGGTCAACCATGGTCAAGTCCTGGACTTGGTGGCTTGAAACAGGGCGCTTCTGTGTGCATGCCCAAAATCCTGAATGGAGAATGGAGAAGGGATTGTGGCATGGCCATCCCCCAGGGGGGTGACTTAATGCTTTCTGTCTTTCTTTCTGGCAAGCACAAGCACCCTATAGCAAAAAATCTCCCTCTCTCTCTCTCAAAGTTATATTTAAAAAATACCATAAGCAAGTGGAACCCATCTTGGATCATATCTGCCTCACCACCCCACTTCTTTATACCAGAAACTTCTCATATAGTACCCACTAAGGATTTAGGTTCCAAATAGTCTGTTAATAATAACAGCTGGGGGAACCAGCAGTTAGCATAATGGCTATGTCGCTGGACTCCCATGTAGTCGACCGCGGTTCGTATCCCGAACCCGGTGGCTTAAAACTCACGCAGGGCGCGTGTGTGTGCGTGCCCAAGATCCCGAGAGGAGAATGGAGGAGAAGAGATTATGGCATGACCATCCCCTCTGGAGGGTGATTTCTCGCTTTCTGTCTCTATGTCTCTGTCTGTCTGGCGAGTGCACGCACCCTATAGTGAAAACCTCTCCCCCCCCAAAAAAAAATACTAACTGCTGGTACCCAACTCATGAAAACCTCTCCCCCCCCCAAAAAAAATACTAACAGCTGGTACCCAACTCCTTGCCCTCCCCCTCCCATATGCCCCAAATGCCCACCCACCCAGCTCCACCTGCACCCTAACCACCCAAGCCATCAGCATCTTCCATGGGCCTAATGAATGGTCTCCTGCTTCCCTTTGCCTGCTTCAGGCCACCCTCCACGTAGTATGCAGCAGCTCAGGGAGTCTTTAAATTACCTAGGTCAGGGGTCCAGCAGGCGGCTTAGTGGTTAAGGCACTCGATTCCCTCATGGTCGACCACTGTTCGCGTCCTGGACCCAGCGGCTTCAGACTCATGCTGAGTGTGTGTGTGTACGTGCATGCCCAAAATACCAGGAGGAGAATGAAGGAGAAAAGATTGTGGTGTGGCCATCCCTTCTGGGGGTGATTTCTCACTTTCTGACTCTCCGGTAAGTGCAAGTACCCTAGAGCAAAAAGCTCTCTCTACAAAACGACAACATAAGATTAAATGGACTGTACCTCAAGTTCTCATTAGCTGCTTACAGAATAAAACCTGAGTTCTAGCCTCTGAAGGGTCTGGCTCCTCCCCCCTCCCCGCAGCCAACACTCATTTGATCTGGAAGAGGCCTGGCGGTCCCCGTATTGTCACCACAGCCGTGCTGTGCATCTCCGTCATTGCCGGGCTCTGCCACACAGCAGAACCTCCTGTTGGCTGTGCTCTCAGCAAGTGCCATTGCTCCTGGCACACTCCTGTCTGCTGAGTAAGTGACCGTCGGGCGGCCGAGTTCCTCAATGACTAGACAAAACCAGCACACCACAGGAATGTGAGATGGAGAGAGAGGCAAATACGGGAATCCAGTCAAGTTAGTACTGGGAGACCACCCTGGGAAGATGGGACACACACAAAAGTAGGTGTGCTCCTCTAAGAACTCAGCATGCTATGCGTGAGAAGGTCCGGTGCCAAGCCCACCTTAGGGCCTGGAGTTGCCAGATATCATAGCGCAGTCCCGTGGGTTCCAGGGCGGCCTCGACCTCAGGGACGTTGGTACATAGAACCGTCTAAGGACAAACTCCTACTTGCCAAAAAATTAAAAATCATCTGTTTGGAAACATTTTCCAAAGTGACCTAGGTTGCTAGTCCCAGTAATAGAGAATAAGGTCTTCTCCTTTCAGGTCATCATCCGAGGGGAAAAAGGGTTATTGTCTGTGGGCTGTGACGCTGGGGGCCTGCAGCTAACGGGAGGATGGGTATTAATGAGGTTCACTGAAGACTGGTTATTCCACTATGGCTGCAGGAACAACCCTTGTCCCACCAGGGGGCACTGCAGGAGCAGAAAAGGCTGAAAACAGCGAGTGTCTTTGCCTTGGGAAACTAAAACATTGTCCAGAGGATGCTGGGTCCTGGGGGCTTGGAACCACTGCCCTGTCCACCCTTTAAGGGTCAGTGTGCATAGAGGGGACTGCGGCTGTACCCCAAAGCACATTTGGTTGTTTCTGCAAGGACGACCTGGCGGGGGAGAGGTGCTAATTTGGGAGGGCCCTGTTTGGTGGGGCTGTAGAGGAGCATGTCTCCCACCCTGTTTGCTGTCCTCAGCACTCTTACCTCTGCCCCAGAAACAGCATGCTCATTTACTTATTTACTTGTCTGTCTCTCCTGCAAGGGCATTTCCGTCCACCCCAAAAAACTGTGGTACCTACCACGGTGCCTGACTCAGAGCAGGCACAGGAGACCAATCTGTTGATGAATGGAGGCGCTGATGGGGGCAGGCAGGGCCCTCCAGTGCCGCCCAGCTCC